ATAAGCCGGTCGTGGTACTGCGGTCAGGTGTGCCACCCAGGCCAATGGCACGAGGGAGAGGACATCTGCTCCACGCATGCCTCAATACCGTTAGACAGTTCTGCGTGTACTGGTGAGAGGACTAAGCCTTTACACGCGTAAGGTGGTGAGAGGCGAGCACTGCCACCTGTCTTGGGAAGGACAGCAGAGGTAGTGCGTGCATAATCTTGAGGCTGCATGGCCAGCCTTGAAATAGGGAGGAGGACGAACGTTAGAGGTATGTAACTTCTCCCCCAAAAGAAAATACTCTCTCTCTATCTGTCTTCTCCTTCCTCAAGTGGACTGACTTGATCGTCGGAGGGTCTATCCGGCACACCACCGCCAGGCAGCTCACCGTTTCTGTGTTACCAGGTAGACGCCGTCAAGAGAAGCTTGGAGTACAAGGAGTACGAAAAGCAGAGGATATTTAGCCCCCGTACAATTGGCGCCGTCTGTGGGAAATTTTTGATACTCAACCCTTGTTCTTAAAGCTTCTTCAACTATCTCCGTGGCCAACAACGGCGAAGCCCCACTGTCCGTCGTTGATGGCGTCACACCTGAGTACGTCCGCTTGAGAGAAGGTCCTCCGAATATTCCAGCCATGGCGGGCCTAGAGACTCCTTCGCGAAGTGCGCGAGACAAACGCGGGAGGAGTACTGATCGCTCGCAAAGTCCTGAGGGCCGCCGACGCCGGGGGGAGTCCCATGCGCAGCGCCTGGAGCACAAACTCAAGGACCAAGACGCCGTCATTCGCAAGATGGTGGCGGAGATGGAGTTGCTGAAATGCCAGATTAAAGGGAAGGGTGTTGCTGGATAGGGCAACCTCAGTGAGCGCACCCCGTTATAGACACCCCATTTTTGACCGTCCTCAAGACTTGGACGTCACCATTGGAACACTTGGTGACTACTCTTGTTTGTGTTCGTTTGGAGTTCCCGGAGGTCTCGGCTACGCGCCCTGCCTCAGGATCTCCGAACTTGACCGTTTTGTGTCTGGTTTTGCACCAAACACTTGTGTTTTGCCTTGGAGGGGCAAGGAATGCCTTGTGAGGCATCCCCACACACCACCGGCAGTGTCTAGAGGCCACCGGCTGGTTTTTGATGCCATCGGCAATCTTTTCTGCCGGTCGGCACTTTTTGTTGCCGGTCGGCACTCTTTTTTGTCAAAATGACATTTTTGGGCAGCCGACCACTGTTCATCTGCTTTATGTAGATATTTTGTGCCAGCTGTGATAGCTGGCACCAACTCTGCCTCCCTCCATACACGTGTATGGAGGGATCTCCCTCTAAGCAAGCTTGTTGTATAAGCTTTGCAAGAGGGAGTTCTATAAGAGGAAGGCTCTCCTCTTTGATCTAGGTTAGAAACTTTGAAGGCAAAAACCAGAGCTTCCATAGATAGATACACCCTGTCTCTATATCTCCCTCTCTCTCCTCTTTTGTGTGTGTTTCTTGGCCTAAAAGTGTGCTTTTACCTTACTTTTGCACTAATACACACACTATTACACCTAGCTCCGAGATTGAGGGACTTGGGGGGTTGATTCTTGAGTTTTTGGACTGATTTTGATCAAAAGAAGAGGGCTGGACCATTTGTTCTTCAAAGGATCTTCAAGGGTGAGCACTTTACTTTAGTTTCCCCAAACTTGCAATAGTTTTTTACCTATCTTGCTTGCTGATTTAGCTTTTGTGCATAACATAAAAAAAGCTTACATTTTCATGCTTTAGAACTTTCATTAAGGTTGTTTTGTGGTTTGAGTGCAAACTCACCTTATTAGGCCTTATTTGGCCCCTTTTGTGCTTCCCTTGTGAGGCCTTGTTTGCTTGAGTGTGTTGGTCTTTTCACCACTAAAAACCAGTTGATTTTCAGTGGTAAGGAAGGTGGTTTGAAGTCTTGCATAGGGGAGGGACACCCCTCTCCCTTCATTGTCTTATTTCCTTGCATTTTGGCTTAAAAGGTAACATGCATGATTGCTTGATTTTTGCCTTATTTCAGAACTTTTTAGGTGTTTTTAGGTTATATGTAATCTCTGTTTTTGGTCGGATTTATATCTCTTTGCGTGCTTAGAGTACTTGCTTTGCATTGCTCCTTTTGGCCTAGAAAGGCACCTTGTGTTTAGGCCATGATTCTTGCATGTGTAAGCTTAGTTTCATGAAGGTTTTGGCATTGTCTTACCATGTTTAAGGTCTGTTGGCCCTTCATTTCAGCCATGCTTGCATAGTTTGATGTCGTCTCTTTATGTTTTGGCTTGTAAGCTTTGAGCATATTGACCTCTAGCATGCATAACTATGATCATCCTCATGATTTGGCATCATTTTAGACCACATTTCAGTCCGTAAATCATGTTTATGTGTGTGCATGTGTGACCTCTTTTATGCCTTGAGGTGTGCCCTTTTATGCCTAGATATGAGCCTCGGTGCACACACCTCTTTGGGGTCACTTTAGTTGCCATATTAATGGTTTTCGGGGTCCATTCTTGCATGTTAAAATTCTGTTTTGGCTTGTCCAAGCCATGCCATGATTGGTCTTGTTGTTGGAAGTGAAGTGGCCCTTTTTGTGCCTTAGCCTTGGGACCATTGGATTGCTTGTCGGCATAGGATTTTGTCCACCCTTTTAGGCACTTTTGGCCGTTGTTTTGTGGTGGATTAAGGTCTGCCCCTTTATGGTTTGAGGCCCCTTTGCATGCTCGTCTCATGACCATTGCATGATTGCTTCATTAAGTGTTGTAATATTTTGGTCCCATTGCTTAAATTGTTCGTATTCGCATTGCATTTCGCATGCCTAGCATTGCATACTTGCCATACTAGTTACATAACATTTGGCATGCTTTGCATTTCCATCTCATTGTTGCATTTTGAGCCATGTTTGCATAACATGCATTGCACTACTTGGTTTGGGGTGTCAAACCAAGTGTTGAAGGTTAAGGGGCGTTCATACCATAAGTGATGTAACGTGCCTTAACTTTCGGTCGCCGGGGCCTTTGACTTCGACATGATAAGGCCTTGGTCCTCATTTGTATGTTGCATGCATCTTTACATCAAGTGGCAAACTTGATCCCTTGGGCTATCATGCACCATTGATGGCTCGAGGATCGAGGGCCATGCTTCCCTGAATTCAAAGCATGATAGGAAGCATGACCATGCTTACATGTGCCTGAAATCCCATGCCATACTGTCTGTCCTCTGTTTGCTGTCAAAACTGTCTTCTGCAGGAAGGATTTGCCGACCGGCATAATTCTGCGCCGGCCGGCAATCTGTTTACAGCCGATAAATCCAAAAACGGCCGGTGGGAATTGTGCACTGCCGGTGGGAATTTCCCCTAGCCGGTGGTACTCTGCAGCATGCAAGGAACCTGTCCTAGGCTTTGGAAATTTTCAGAGAAGCAGGGCAGTATAAACAGAAGGTGGCAGTGACTGTTGGTTATGGGTTTTCCAGGCGAGCGGCGTGTTTCGAGCATGCATCATTTCGCGCATACCCGATGGCAGAGGGCTGCGGCATCCCTTTCCCTCTTCTTTTTGCTATTGCTTCCTATTAACAGCAAATTAGAAATTCTGTAATATTTTATTCTTTATTATTTGGACTGTAATATTTATTTGTATCTCCGAGCGAGTGCAAACTGTAAAGTTGTGGGTGAGTGTGTGATGTTCTTCCAATCCCCACTTCTTTCTTTCCCTTTTATTTACCTGCTTATGATGTAGATTAGGGCATTTTTGAAATTAGATCCTTATTTCTATGCATGCGTGCATTCATGCATGTTGTATTAGCATTGCAGGTCGGTGTAATCAGCTAACTGCATTTTGTATTTCTAAATTCCAAATTGAGACTACAGTAGAATCAATATGGTTGCTTTCATTATGCCATATGGTATAGCCGAGCCTTACTCTAATTGCATTTGCATGTGTTGATTAGTCACTTGACATGGACTAGGACACGCATGATTTGCTAACTAGTGTTTTGTTTGGATGGAGTACGACTGTAATATTAATGCTTAGTATACCGCGAACGCGGAGATCAGCTGCGTGTGAGATGACATGTTGCCGGACGATATGATAGTATGCTGATTACCATGTGGCTAAACGTGCTTCAATTAGTGAGATAAGTAACTGGATTTTAGAATGCCCGGTGGGGTAGAATTGGTTGGATGTTTGAAGTTGCGGAAAAGCTCTTTGAAATCCGTGTTTTACCTACTTGCGAGTAGCAAAATTTCCCAAAGCAGCTTTTCAAAACACAAACGGTATTTGCAAAATGCTTGTGTTTCCAAATTAGGCAAAATTCTAGTCTATACTTGTTTGTCGGTAGTGCGCATAACATAGTAATATTCTAGGCTAATACCGTGAATAGAACACATAACATTTTCAAAACTAGATATCATGGTTAGTAGAGGCCGATCTTTGATCGGGCGAGCGGGGGTGCTCATAGCTGACCTTTCCCAATCGTTCCCAAGTTCCCGAGCCGACGCGACTTTGGTGATGACGGACACGTGGCCATAGGAAAATGAGTCAGGGTTTCCTAAATTTCGCCAAAAATAAAACATTTACGTGGCGACTCTGTATATCTGGCAAAGCAGTCCATGTTTGGCACTTCTTTCCAAAAATCTGTTTTCTCAAAACGATTTGCCAGATTTGGACTCTTTGGTTCAAGATTAAGAACCGTGACACGAATCGAGTCCCAACTGTAGTAGCGAGGGCCCCTCGCGGGCGCGTCTACACCCGTCCCCTCGTTGTAGCAGTCGCCACCAGGAGAGGACTCACTCTCTCTCCATCACCAGGAACTATGGGGTTGGAGGTTCCGACCAAGGAGAGGGCAGGTCCCTCTCTCCCAACAGCACCTACCGGCCCTCACGCCCGACGCCGACGTCGAGATCCTCTTTCTTCACACGTTCCAGGGACTTGAGGGATGTATTGGAGGAGAAGGCGCGCCGTCGGGAGGCTCGAAGAGTGCCGGCATTGCAGAGGTTAAGCGCTCCAGTTTGTTACAGTGAGGAAGCGGCGATGCCAGCCCCCAAAGTGATAACCCCTGCGCTGGTGGACAAAGAGCTGGCGCGACTTACAGCCACGTCGCTGTCTCCAGAGATTGAGAGTACGCCACTCCCCGCCGGATTCCACCAGCCAAAGTTCACTTTGTACGACGGCAAGACGAATACATACATGCTTGTGAGCCATTACCGGCAAGTAATGACTGGACACCAGCGGAATGAGGACTTGATGTGCCTCATATTCCCAGCAAGCTTGGGAGAGCTGGGTTTGAAATGGGCCGAAAGGCTCCCGGAGGGGAGTATTGAGGGGTGGCAGCAACTAGCGGAAGCCTTCGTCACCAGATTCAAAACCAACACACGAACGCCGACGGAGGTCGACCATCTCCTGGGCGTCAAGATGGAGTCTGGATGTTCGTTGAAGGCATACAATGCGAAATACTGGGAAACTTACAATGAGATCCTCGACTGCCCCACCAATCTGGCGATCACTCAGTACAAACAGGGTCTCCCAGTCGGACATAGGCTGCGAGATTCACTCACGATGCATCAACCCATAACCATGGAGTCATTAATGTAGTGGATCAATGAGCATATTCGTGTGGAGGATGATGCCGCCTCCGCGACCGAGAAGGCTAATCCGGTCGCGGCGGACAGAAGGGTTGCGGGGAAAGTTCACTTGGTTGGGCAGGAGGATAACCGCCCAAACAACCGGTCGAAAGACCAGCGCCATGGTTCAAACAGTGATGACAGAAACAAGGGCCGCCGAAACGACCGGGCAGACCCTCCCCGTGATGCAGCGGAGGATGCCAAAAGAAAATTGAAGGCGCGGACTGGGATCACCACGGTATTTAAAATCCCCATCTACCGCATTTTGAGCGAGATTCGAGGTGAACCCTTCGTCCGTTGGCCGGCCAAGTTGGGGAGTGCGCAGAGGGGCTTCAATTCAAAATATCGCTGCACCTTTCATGAAGAACGGGGGCATCGAACAGAGGACTGCTTGCCGCTCAAACAACACTTAGAGGAGTTGGTGGCGGCGGGGCATCTTGACCAATGCATAGATGGGGGCATCAAGGCCACGCCAGCGGACCAAGCCGAGCCAAATGACCTGGCTGCCCTAGAAGTGCCCCCGCAAGGTGTAATCAACATCATCCACGGTATCATTGAACCGGCCAGGGTTTGCGAGCTGAGAGGGATGATCAAGAAGGCCGAGCACATGAGGGAAGTGCTCTCTGTTCAGCCCGCTGTGAAGAAGGGAATGACCGAAGAAAGGGACATCCTTTCATTCTCAACCAAGGACTTGGAAAGAGTTCAGATGCTGCACAATGATGCTTTAGTAGTCACTCTTCGTGTCAAAGACTTTGACATCAAGAGAATCTTGATCGACCAGGGGAGTTTGGTAGAAACTATGTATTATGATGCGTTTAAACAAATGAAGTTGGAAGACAAGGCTTTGGTCCCCGCAACGTCCCCTTTGGTCGGCTTCAACTCACAGCCAGAATGGCCAATCGGAAAGATTATTTTTCCGGTCAAAGTGGGATCGGTCGTAAAGCAAGTAGAGTTCTGGGGGCTTAAAGTTCCATCAACTTACAACTTGATCTTAGGCAGGGGTTGGCTGTACGCCATGCAAGCAGTTGCTTCGACGTTCCACTAAGTCATGCGCTTTCCGGCACCGAGCGAACAAATAGAGGAAGTTTGGGGGACCAGGTGATGGCGAAACAATGATTCGTTGCGGTAAATGGTAGCCGAGCGGCTAAAGGGTTCGTCCAAATGATTGATGGGCCCGAGGGAGGAGACCTTTGTTTTTTGAGGTGAAGGACCATGTATTATTGAAGATATCATCTACGAGAGGTTTGATGAGGTTTGAAAAGAGTGGAAAGTTATCCCCTCGATTCATTGGGCCTTTTCAGATCCTTGAGCGAATTGGAAAGGTAGATTATCATTTGGCCTTGCTGCCATAGCTTTCCAGGGTTCATGATGTGTTTTATATTAGCTTGCTTTGGAAGTATAAGCTAGATCCATCACATGTGTTGGATTAGACCGACTTAGAAATAGATGAGGATGCCTCATATGAGGAGAGACCGGTGAAAGTCTTAGATATTCGGGACCAAGTCTTACGAGGCAAGATAATTCCCCTAATTAAAGTATTGTGGAAACATCACGGGGTTGAGGAAGCAACTTGGGAGCATGAGTTGGGAGTTCGTGAGAAGTATCTGGACTTATTTGTTGATATTTGAGCAAGTATTGAAATTTTGATTATGTTAACGAGATATGAAAGCATCGTATATGTTTTGAAAGTATGCAAGCATTGTATATGTTATGTATGTTTTGGAAACATGGATTTAAGGTAAACATTGTAAATGTTTTAGGAGAATGTGAATTATACTTTCAATGTTGGGACTTGTGTATCGAGTTGCTGAGAATGGATGACTAGAGAGTGGGTTATGGTATCGGAATTGATTAATTAGTGTTATTGTGTTTGGTTTAAACATAACTTTAAAACTTGATTTAGAATTTCAGGGACGAAATTCCCTAACATGGGAGATTATAACGATTCTAGTTTAGACTCGACCCATTTTGTATTCCAGACTCGGGTTTTATGGTTTTGTATTGTTGTTCATGTCTTAGTTCCCTTGTACATCCTTAAATTTGGTTATTGGATTGTAGTGGTTGTGTTTGAAACAAGTTGGTTGCTTAGTTTTCAAACCTTTGTTGTCTATAATTTTACTCTTCTGCTTGAGCGGCACTTCTTGCGCTCAAGCGGGTTTTGTAAACTCTCAGTACTTTTGTAGGTCTGCAAAGCTTCCAGGAGAGTGTATTCTACGCTCAAGTGAGCTTAGCTCGAACGGCCTTTCTTGTGCTCGAACGCTGGTCTGTTGTCTGCAAAACTATTGGGAGTATACATTTTGCGCTCCAGTGTCACTTTTTGCGCTCGAGCAAAACAACTTTTTGTGTCTGACGCTCAAGCGTTACTTCTTGTGCTCGAGCAGACTGCGCGTATACCAGTTCGCAGCAACCCCTTTTTACCAAACTTTTTCATATCTTTTTCTCTCAAAATCTTAGATCTAGAGCCTCTTTCTCTAAAACCTACGTTCTCTCTCCATTTTTACCTAGATCTAGTGATTTATCTACCCATGTGCCTTTGTTAAAAAAGTAGAGCATCTCAAGGGCTACGTTTTGTTCTGAATGGAGATTGGTTTTGGCATCTTTGAAGTCTCTTCATCTCTTCCTTTGGTCTTCTAAGCTTGAGGTAGGGACTTTCTACACTGTTCTATGAGTTTTAACTTAGTTATTTGCTGATATGTAAGAAATATTAGAACTTGGGATGATTCTGAGCAAACCTAGGGTTTTGGTTTAAAATCAAAAGAGGGGTTTTCAAATGCATGTGTTATAAATGGTTATGGGATTAGATGTGAGGTTGTGTTGTGATAAATATGTTGATTTTGGTACTCGGGTTGGGTTTTGGAATAATAAGGAGTTTTGTCCTAAATTGTCTCAAATTGTTATTTTGTAAAAATATATGAGATTAGCATTGGGAATATGAAATCGAATGGATGTTTGTATAAATAGTAGAGTTAAATATGTATTATCTCTCACCTATGGAAATTTGGATAATTTATCAGTCTTGGAAATTGTATATCTGTTTAGAAATATCTATTTTGGGCTATCGGTGGAGGATAGTTATGATTGCTATAGCAATTGCATGAGGATTAGGTGAATTGAAACTAATCTCTTATCCATTGTCATTGAATATGACTATGTTTTTAATACATTGTAAATATATGAAATGTGGGAGAAGAAATGTAATAACCCGACCCTCATATCTGTTTCTAGTATATTTTCGATCTGTTATTCTGTGCATTTACTTGCTTTCTGTGAAAAGTGATTTATATCTGTGGCATTTTTATTAGTGTATTTGGAACCTCCCTATTTTATTTTGGGCTATTGATTGTGGTGGTAATATGATGGTAAAGTAAGATTGGATCAAAAACTTTAATTTGAATAATTCGTTTACGACCAACCGTCACTCTTTTGCCCTTTTCTTGTTCCACACTTGGAATTTGGATGTGAGGTTAAAACCATTGGAAAGCTTATTTTTGGGGCTTCAATTTGGGCACAAGAATGACCTAAAACGGCGTCCGGATGAGAGAGTTACACCTGTTTGAAGTTTTCATATCTGTGCTGGAAGCAGAACCGCACGTGCGGGAAATGCGGCGCACATGCGGCGATGTGCGGGGCAGCAGCTCAAAAACGTGATTTTTGAGTCATTTCTTAGATTTTCTTTTCCTCTCTTCTTTTTCCCTCTTCCATGTCCGAAACCCTAGCTCCCAAAACCTTGATTTCCTCCACTTTTCTCAACAAATCAACCATGGATCTTGCATCAAGGATGGAGAATAAGAGGAGATCACCACTTTCTACCGAATGGAATTTCGAAATTTTTGAGGTATGTTGGGATTCTATTATGGGGTTTAGAGTATGGTTTATGGGTTATGGACCTAGGGTGCCTAATAAATGAGAAGATTTGGAATAAAAAGTAATGGGTTAAGAAGATTTAAAATTGCATTTGAAATTTGTAGATTTCTTAGAAACCCTAGGTTGATTTTTGATGATAATCCATGATTTGGCCCAAATTGATAGTTGAATCATGAAAGTGGTAAGTTGAATTAGATGTGTTCAAGTTTAATTGGAATTTGGTTATGTTTGAAAATTATGTTTAAATTTTGCGATTGAACTTTGTTAAATGCATTGTAAATTATGTTTTAATAAAAGGGAAATTGGGGAGAAAGAAGAAGAAGCTTCCAAGGAAGAAGATTGGGAAATTAAAGGGGTTATAAAGATTTTAATGGAGGGTATGTGTAATTACTATGTTGATATTAATTTTTGTGACCTAAAATGTGAAGTTTTCAAGAATGGGTTTAATCTCAAATCATTTTACTAAATATTTGTGGGCTTGCTTAATTATTAAATCAAGAGAATGATTTAATAGGATTTCTTATGGGGATGGGGAAATGTTTGGTTTTTAGTGGAAACACTAGAAATTTAAGGAGTTTTGGGGAACATGGAAATGTTCATAAAAATCCTTTCTTTCTTTGAATAGAAGAGGAATGGGTATAAATTCCATAATGTATTTTGTAAGACTAGTAATCTTTTATATATATATATATATATTGAGTTGGAGAAGTAGGTTTGAAACTTCATGCTGCAAAATATTGTTTGCTCTGTTTTACGTGCTTAACCCTCTAGTATTTCTGGAATTTGTGTTTGATGCCCTTAATGTATAAGTTGTTTACATGTGTAGGGCATAACCTGAGAAGGACAAGCACTCCGTTATAGCACTGTGAGTAGTAGCATCAATATCTACTTTACATATGGCTAATGATTTTCATTAGCATTTCGTTTACGCAACCATGTTAATGTTTCAAGTATGCAACTATGTTAATGTTTCAAGTATGTATGTTAATGTTCAAGGATGTTCCAAGTATGTAAAGAAAGAAATGGGAATGATAAAATACCTTCATTCTATAAGACTCTGGGCCTACGGCTATTCAATATAAGTTTTTATGATATGAAACAAAGTGCTACACGGAACTAAGTGCTACGACGTGAGCCACCTCTAGAATCCGTGTGAGACACCTCTTGAGTTCATACAAGAATTTACAAGGGCATTCTTAATGCCAATTTACAAGGGCTTAACGCCAATTTACAAGGGCATTCTTAATGCCAATTTGCAAGGGCTTTATGCCACCTTTCAAGGGCTTTATGCCACCTTCCAAGGGCTTTATGCCAATGTTTAAGGGCTTTAAGCCACCTTTCAAGGGCTTTATGCCACCTTCCAAGGGCTTTATGCCAATGTTTAAGGGCTTTATGCCACCTTTCAAGGGCTTTGTGCCAATGTTTAAGGGCTTATGCCACACCATTCAAGGGCTTTAAGCCAACCATTATGTTCAAGCTGATATGTTTCAAGAAAGGGCCTATAAAGTGAAACATACTCAGACAAATCATGTGGACTTTGCATTGTATGCTTAAGTATATGTTTTAAAGCTTGATAAGCATATGTTTTAAAGATTGATAAGTATATGTTTTAAAGTTTGGTAAGCATATGTTTAAAGATTGATAGGCATATGTTCTGAAGCTTAGTAAGTATGTGTTTTGAAGCTTAGTAAGTATATGTTTTGAAGCTTGGTAAGTATCTAAGGGCCTTGCGCCACTATGTTAATGGGCTTCGTGCCACCATGATTAAGGGTTTGTGCCACATTATACAAGGATATTAATCCAAACCATTATATTCAAGCCAATATGTTTCATGATAAGATCTAAGTCTATAATGAATAAGAACAGATTCAGACTCGCATTGTGAATGCTGCATTAGTATACAAAAGTACATGTTTGAAGCTTTGAATACCAGGTTGGAACTTTACTTGGCATTGTAGAATTTCAGAAATTGCATGGTCCGCTCGAGCGGAGACCCATTTTCAGGAACATTTGAAAAGTTGCATTTAGTTCGTATGTCTATCCTCACTTATTTCCAAAGCATATTAGACACAATTTATGGTTCAATAAATATTGAGATGTTACGAATCCATGTGTATTTCTATTATACAATGTTTCAAGTTAAGCAGTATTTTATTTATGTATTACTATTCACTGAGCTTG